AATGCATAAGATATAAAGCACCAGCGATAGCCAACCTTGGTTATCAGCTTAGAAACCTCAGTTGAAGAGTTGCTTCCATTAGACTGGCTGGTGTTTGGGGGGCATTTTCTCTATTGCTAATGATATAGGAGGGCCCAAACTACTGTGGGCAGTATTATTCTTAGGCAGGTGGGCCTGGGCTATACATGAAAGGTCACGACCATGAGCCTAGGAGCACGGCACTAATGAGCATTCCTCCATAGTCTGTGCTTCACTTCCTGTCTCCGGGTTCTCACTTGAGTTCCTGCCTTGTCTTTCCTTTGTGATGTATTATGGTAGATCTGAGGGAAAAAACATTTCTACCACTGTCTGATTCAAGCAAGCTATATTTAGAAGTGTACAAGGGACTGGCCAGACCCACGTCCCCTAAGTCGGGGTTTCAGAGAGCAGTCTGTCACTGGCTTTTGAGGCCCCTTTTATGGAGAAGGGTGAGGGTTGAGATTAATTGGCTAGTAATACCTGGGCAGAAGAGTGGTTGACTCAGGGCTCAGGGATGCCTGTGGGGTAGGTAAGTGCAAGGATATGTTGTGTGGAAGGGTCAGGAGTTTAGCAAGGCAAAAGGGGCAGGTATACCTCATAGGGTCACAAGGTGGGTATAGGTTGAAAAACAGGGTTTGCAGGATACATTAGGCTTAGGAATCAGGAACTTAGTCTTCTAAGGTATGGAGGCTTAATAACAATGTATAACAATGTGACTCCTTAACAACAATGTGGCTTCTGTTTCCATTTCACAAAACTGTAAAATGAAATAAACCCTTTCCTCGTCAAGTTGCTTTTGATCATGGTGTTTATAAACAGCAACAGAAAACTAGAACATCCAATCTAAAAATGTAAATGTTTGTGGTGATATTTTGTGCACTAACAAATAAAGCTTGCCTGAAGATCAGAGTGTGGAGCTAGACACACTAGTTAGCCACAGAGACCAGGCAGTGGTAGCACACTCCCTTAATCCCAGCACTTGGGAGGCAGAGGCAGACAAATCTCTGTGACTTCAAGGCCACCCTGGGCTGCATGATGGAACCAATCTAAAAGAAACAGTGGTGGCTCACACCTTTAATCCTAGTATTTGGGAGTCACGCACTTTTAATCCCAGCACTAGGGAAGGGGAGACAGGAAAGACTAGAGCTGGGCAGAGAGAGGAATGTAAGGCGGGAGGAGACAGGAACTGAGGGCATTTCAGTCTGAGGATTCATAGGGACAGGAGAGCTCCTTTTGATGTGAGGATTCAGTAGTGGTAGGAGGCCTCTGTTGTGACTGGCTCCTTTACTTCTCTGACCTTTCAGCATTTACCCTGATATCTGACTCTGGGTTTTTATTATTAAGACTCTTTATTAGAACTCATAGGTCAACCCGATGATTTTCTTCCACGAAATGGGGCTGTCAAAGGTCCTGTGGTTTAGGGCTCACCCCCTTTCTTAGCACTGGCACTTGAAGCCTGAGCAGCCAGGGACTTCTCTGCATGCAGAAGGCAGGACTCTCAGGAGTATCCAAGTGCCTTGAGTCTTTCAGTTCAAGCCTTGTTTCACCTCAGTTACATTTCTTGACAGAACTTAGCAAGACCAACTTTATTACCCTGTTTCCAGCCATTTAAAGTTAAATCATAGAACCTGATCACTTTCTACCTGTTAGCTCTCCAGCCTGAGCTAGAGGATTAGGGAAGGAGCTTGTCTTCTCAAGTTCCTCGCAGATGGAACTTGGGAGCTTGAGAACACATGGCTATTAGAGGCTCCCAGCCTGTGGAGAGCCACCTCTCTTCACCCAATCCAGGGAACTTTTTAACCAGGCTTCCTGGCTATTTTAAACCCTGGCGCTTTGGGCTATTTCCTGTGGCTGCAAACACTCGGCAGAATAAGATAGGGCTCCGGATTCAACTGTAGAAAAAAAAAAAAAAAAACCATAAATAACTAAAGAGGCAGGAGGGAGGGAGAAAGGGAGGGGGGAGGAGAGCAGGAAATGAACCCAACAAGATGTCCATGAAATTCATATTTAAAAAAATGGATTTAGTCCAGGTTCTTTCTCTGAAACCTCAACCAGGCTTCCCTAGATTCAAATGTTGCAAACAGCTTATCTGGCTTCAGACTTGGGTTCAGAGGTGATGTCGTGATGAAATGAATTGTGGGAAAACTACCTTGGGTGGCATAGGTGAGACCTGATGAAATCCCCTCCCATGGGCGCTGGCATAAATTCAGCTTTCAGCATAGTTGTCTTGATGTAATAAAAATTGGTTAATGTCCTTCAGTGAGAGTTTATGAGTATGCGCGCCCCAAGGATATAGCAATACGTTCCGCTGGCCTCTGAAACACGCATACACCCTGAGATTTATTGAATCGTTAACCGGTCTACACTGGCTCTGGATTTCTTTATTCTGCTTAGTCACCTCCTGAACTTGGAATGTGAGGTGTTGACTTGGATCTAATGTTCAAGCTGGATCAAGCCAGCTCTGTTCCTCTGGGATTACTTATTGCCCTGCCCTGTTAGGAGAGCATAGAACTCATGATACAGAAGAATGGCCACCTCTGGGGCAATGCAGTGGCTCCAGGTAGAATGGGGCTGCTGGGATGATTCCGCAAGCTAAGAGCACTTGCAGTGCTCACAGAGGCCTTGGGTTTGGTTGGCAGCGCCCATGGGGCCATGCACAACTGTCTGTAACTCCAGTTTCAGGGAATCCAACAACCTCTTCTGGTTTTCTCCAGTCCCAGACACACACATGCTACACATACACAAATGTGAGTGAAATATATATATAATGTTTATATATATGCACAAAAATATATGTAGTAAAAATAAATCTAAAAAAACAAGAAAGAAAATATAATCATCTTCATTTTTTTATTACTTATGGGGTGTATGCATGCATGTGTATGTACCTCTATGTACATATGGAGGTCAAAGGACAACCTATGGGAATCTTCTCTCCTTCCATCACGTGGGTCCCAGGGATCGCTCAGGGTGTCAGGCTTGTTGGCAAGTTCCTTTCCCAATGAGCCATCTCACTGGTCCATTCCCATTCTTCTTGAAATGACTAGTATTATCCAAATAATGCTGTAAACAAACACAGACATTTCTAGAAGGACCCTTGCAGCATTTCAGATGAGGCACAAGATGCGACTGCAACCAAAATCCAACTACTACATCTATGGCTTCACAGTCAAACCCCGAGAGCCGCAAAGTCAAGGAACAGCAGCCAGGTGATTCCGGATGCTTTTGTGCCTGCAGTGTCTGAAGGGGTAGGATTGAGGCGAGAGCCAGAACAAAGCTGATGTCATCATGATAAATTAGGAGGCAAGACTGTGAGAATGGTTGCCTGGGTTCTAACAAGCATAATTAGACATTGGTGTCTTCCTCTCCTCTTCCCCATAATCAAGTTCGTTGGATGTGGACAGTGTCTACCTAGAGGGATACGAAACACGAAGTACAAATCAGAGTAACTGTTTTGCAATTTGGAAAGGTTGTTTTTCTGTATGGAAGAAGTGATGTGTTCCAAAGCATTCTGGATGGACAGTCCTTAGGAAAAGAGGTATTTGTGTTGGAGTCATGCAGACAAGGCTATCTACAGCTGAATCACACACACAGGCATCACCAGTTCCTGGAGCAACTAGAGACTGCCACGGGTCTCTGGTTAGCATTTGGATTTGCCCACTGGTTATCATTCCCTAGATCCCTGAGACACATGACACAGAGCTGAGAACAATTATGATCACATTGTTTCAGCTGCTGTGGGAAATCAGGCCATCAGTGACCCTGGCCTCGTCTTCTAGAAGAGTGATTATGGCGTCAGTGAGAAGAACCGCTATGGAGAGCGAGAAGAACCGCTATGGAGAGCGCTGCCCTAACATCTCTGATTTAGACAACAGGAAATACCTTGCACTTTCCTGTTTGTCTTGGCATTTCCTTATCTTTTAGTTTAGTTCCCTTTACTACATGTATTTTTTTTTATTGTGTAAGCATGTGTCTGTGTATGCACACACGTTCACACAGGTGAGAGGGCAACTTCTGAAGTCATCTCTCTCCTGCTACCATATGGGTTCCGGGATTGAATTCCAGTCATTGGGTTTGGCAGCAAGCATCTTTACCCACTGAACCATCTTACGAGTGTGTTCTCTCTCTCTCTCTCTCTCTCTCTCTCTCTCTCTCTGTGTGTGTGTGTGTGTGTGTGTGTGTGTGTGTATGTTGGGAATTGAACCCGTGGCTTGAGCTACACTGGGGATTCTCTGTTTTTAATCAAAATGTGTATGTCTGTGAGTAGGGGGTCAGATGAAAGTACAAAATACAAAAACAAAAAAATGGTTCTATGATTAAGGTACATTGGAAAAAATGGATGTTTAATGTGACTCATTTATGGGTACAAATATCTATCCCTTATAAATAATTATTGTCTGGAATCTCTCACTAAAGTGAGCAGAGAAATGAAGCATTCAGGGTCCGTCTGATTGCTGTGTACAAACGATGTGGGGAGCACCAGACAGAGGGAGGCACATGAGTGCAAGGCTTTAGAGATGCCCTTTCACACCACATGCCATCGGCTACCAAATGATGCAGAACTCATCAGTGGATTCTGACATGTAACATTTGGCTGGAGCTCAAGGATGAGGGGTACGGGAGGAGTAAGATTTCAAATGCCATTTTCTGAAAGTATGGGTGCTAGGGGGATCTCCCGCTACCGTGTGTGTGTGTGTGTGTGTGTGTGTGTGTGTGTGTGTGTGTGTGTGTTTCCTGTTTGTTCTGATACCATGCTGCCTCTCCTGTCTCAACTTCATTTGGTAAAGAATTCTTTTATACATTATCTGAAGTTTATTCTTGTGGTTGACCTATGGTGATAAAAACCATTCTTATTCCCTATACATAAAGAAGACACAGCTTTTAAACTGCTTATGAATCTGAATTGGACACAGTGACACACACTACTGGTGACAGAGTGGGAACTAAGCCAAACCAGCGAGGAAAGGAGTGGGGAGTATGGGTGGTTTTAGTGATTTATTGTCAAGCGTGACACTTTTCTTTATTTAATTGACAGAGTCTCTCTCCAGGCGGAGTTCACATGCTCCAAACTGAAGCTTTTAGCTGGGCAGAGCTGGTTAAGCAAACAAACCCAGCCCTTTGAATGCAATGATTAACAGGAAGCCGGGGGAGCAGGCACTGTTACCAGCCTTCCACTGGACGAAGAGGCTTGGCTCTGAGTTCCAGAGCGATGCACTGCACGAAGGTCACTGATAGTGATTTTCCTGTGGGGACAGGTAGGACACTGGCTCTAGGATCCTCCCTGGGGTGGGGCAGTTTTGTGTAGTAATTGGTTGTAAGTTGCAAAGAGGCTGGACAATGGAGCTGCTACGGAAGTCTGTCATTGAAAAATGAAAATATAAACAATCGAGGAAAAGGAGAGAGGAGAAAGGACCAAGAAGCTGAGCGTGCTCATCAGAATCATATCCAGGTAGGATGATGCCTGAACTTGGACAAAAATGTAAGTTAAAGGAAGTTCCGTTCTAATACCATCTCTAAAGACGTTTTGCTCCGTTCCTGGTTTTGGAAGATGGGCTCCTGGAACTACTGTCTTTTTAGTCTGTCTCTTATCACTGCCTTGACATTTGTATTTATTTACAACAGCAAATTGTGGGAAAACAACTATTTCCCAAGAGCGATTGCCAATGCTTCAGTCTTAGCAGAAGTCTGTTTGCAGATGTTTAGTGGGGAGAGACTTTATATAGCAGACAGCCCAAAGAAAACTGCCCTGGAGAACTGTTCTGAGTACAGGGTTCAAAATCACTACATAACAGAAACTCTCTCCCAAGAAGAAGCCGACTTCCCTTTGGCATTTACACTGACTATCCACAAAGATTTTGATACATTTGAAAGACTCTTCAGGGCGATTTACATGCCCCAGAACATCTACTGTGTGCATGTGGATAGGAAGGCGACAGATACCTTCAAAGATGCCGTCCAGCAGTTACTAAGCTGTTTCCCCAATGCCTTCCTGGCCTCTAAGATGGAGCCTGTGGTCTATGGTGGCTTCTCCCGCCTCCAAGCTGACCTGAACTGCATGAAAGATCTGGTGGCCTCCAAGGTCCCCTGGAAGTATGTCCTCAACACCTGCGGGCAGGACTTCCCCCTGAAAACCAACAAGGAAATAGTTCAGTACCTGAAAGGGTTCATTGGGAAGAATCTCACCCCAGGGGTGCTGCCGCCTGCTCATGCAATCGGAAGGACCAAGTACGTCCACCGGGAACTCTTAAACCAAAAAAATCCCTATGTGCACAACACAGCAAAATTAAAAGCTCCTCCTCCTCACAATATGACCATTTATTTTGGCACTGCCTATGTGGCCCTCACCCGTGAATTTGCTAACTTTGTCCTCAAAGACCAGCGTTCACTGGACTTAATCTCCTGGTCCAAAGATACCTACAGTCCCGACGAACATTTCTGGGTGACACTCAATAGGATTCCTGGTATGTATATTCTTTTTTCCCACTCTCATCTTCATCTCAATGGCATTATTTATTATTATTATTATTATTATTTTAAAGAGACTTGGTTTTCGTGTGTCCGTGTGTCCAGTCCAAGCTGGCCTGGAACTCTGAAACTCCTGTTCTGTCATGACTTCCTGAATCCTATCTGTATGATTACAGTTATGAGTCATTGTACCTGTCTCCATTTTTCATTAGTATATATGACATGATCAATGCTGAATAAGCTTCTCAAAAGGTGGTAAAAGCAAACAACAAAAAAGCAATTTTTTTAATGGGGGGGGGTGGAGTTTTGAGACAGGGTTTCTCTGTGCAGCTTTAGCTGTCCTGGAACTCACTCTGTAGAACCGGCTGTCTGGCCTTGAACTCAGAGATACACCTGCCTCTGGTCCCTTAGTGCTGGGATCAAAAACAAGCAACCCCACCCCCGGCTGCAAAAAAATAATTTAAAATGGCAAACTTCTTGGCAGTTTCAAATGTTAGATTTTGAATGTGGAATGTTTATTTGTTGTTGTTGTTTTTAATTACTAGTTTTATTACTAGTTTATTGTGATGTTATACATTGATGAGTACAATGTGTTTTGATATGAACAAACAGTATGGGATGAATGACAAGCTACTGAGCATATGTTGCTCGCCTATCATTTCTGGGGCTAGACTCTTGAAAATTGCTGTCTTAGCTTGTGTGCAGTTGTCAGTCATCCTGCTATGCTGTCTTCTCCAACTCTTGCCTCTGTCTGTCTGGGATTTTTGTACCCTTTAATCAGCAACGCTATTCCCTCCCTACAGACACCATTCTACTCTATCAATTTTTTTTATTTTTATATTTTTAGTGTTCATAGATCTGTGAGTTCATATGGTATTTTATCTTTCAGTGTATGGCTTTGTTCAGTTTGCATCTTATTTTCCTAATTTATGCATGTAGTTACAAATGACTAGATTCCCCCTTTTAAAGGACTTTTAAATGACTGGGATATATATATACGTATATATATGTGTGTGTGTGTGTGTGTGTGTATGTGTGTGTATATACGAACACACACATACATATCACATTACTGTCAATAGAAACAAAAAATCTTTACATTTCTCACAGTCTGGGAGATATGACTCAAGCCTGTTTTATAGATGAAAGATGGATCAGCAGAGTCAAGGAGAAAACTGGCTTGGTTTTGCTCATCTCCCGAGCTCTGGGACATAGACCCATCCTAGATGTGTGTTTTCTCTTGACACAAGTCAGGAGACTGAGCAAACACTAACTACTCAAAAGGAAAAACAATTGAAATTAATTCCTATTTTAAAGTATCACTATTATGAGTCAGGGAGAGGTGACACACATCATTAATCCCAGTATTTGGGGAACAAAGGCAGGCTGAGCTCTACAAATTCAAGGATGGCCTGATTTACATAATGAGTACCTGGCCATCCAGGACTACCTTGAGGTTCTAGGAAGAAACAAAAGAAAGAAAAGAAAGAAAGAAAGAAGGGAGGGAGGAAGGAGAAAGGAAGGAAGGAAGGAAGGAGGGAGGGAGGGAGGGAGAGAGAGAGGGAGGAGAAAGAGAAAGGAAGGAAGGCAGGTAGACTTTATAGTGTTGGAGAGATGGATCAACAATTAAGAGCTTGTACTTACTACTCTTACAAAAGACCTAAGTTCAGATCCCAGCACACATATCAGGCAGCTCAGTTTCCTGTAACTGCAGCTCCAGGTAATCTGATGCCCTCTTCTGGTACCCAAGGACACCTTAACCCACATACAGATAACACACACACACACACATACATATAATTCAAGTAAAAACAAACATATTTATTGGAAAACAGAATAAAAATAAGATTAAATAATATAAATACTGTTTGAGTGGTGACTTGAATATTTTTGCTCCCATGGCTAAATTCCTACCCCTTTAAATGGCCTGTGTCTATAATCCCAGCATTTGGGAGATGGAGGGATCAGGAATTCAAGGTCATTATGGTCGACACCAAGAGTTCAGGGCCATCCTAGTCTACACAAGTCCCTGTCTCCAATAACCAAAACTTAAAAAACAAAGTAGAAGCTGACCAGTGGTGGTTCATGCCTTTAATCCCAGCACTTGGGATGCAGAGGCAGGCTGATCTCTGTGAGTTCGAGGCCAGCCTAGTACACAGAGCAAGTTCCAGGACAGGCTCAAACTCTACACAGAGAAACCCTGTCTCAGGGTGGGGGTGGGGGTGAGGAGGACCAAGACACTCGATCTGGAAAAGACCTGAAGTGGCACAAACCTTGTCACTAAAGATCGAATGCTTCAGTGTGGAAAGGCCAGTCTGGGGTCAGTAGACAGTAGACTGCAGAAGCTGAGGCACTGGGAACACAGTGGGCAGCCATGTGACACTAAGCAAAGCCAGCGAGGCAGAGGCTGGAGAATACTGTGGAGGAAGCCCTATGCTAGACACGTATATGGCCCAGCGTCTCTCCCACCCCAATCCAAGTGTCCACAATTGTTGCCAGTTTATTGAACTGAAACTACTGGGTGATGGAGGCTGTCACGTAATTACTTTACCAGTTATTATCAAGCAAAGTCAGTGACTTCAAACTGCAGTGTCCTGGGACATCTGTGAGTGTGGTGCAACACGTTTGTAGATAACAGAATCATGTCACGATGTCAAAAGAGTGAACATTCTTGGGCCAGGGTAGACACAAAGAATATTCAAATTGAAAAAGACTTGAAGAATTTTTATGGGTGGCAGGGAGGTTAAAAAAAAAATGAGAGAAGGAAAGAGAGGAGAGAAAAAGAGACACACAGAGACAGAAAAGAGATGATTTCTCAGAGAGAGCCAGCCCAGCTGAACCAGGAACTCAAGGTTCAGAGAGAGACCCTGTCTCAAAATAATTAGGTTCAACTAGCAATTGAAGAAGACAACATTGATTTCTGGCCTCCGTCTGCGCGTGCACACAAGTGTGCACACCACAAGCATGCATGCATAGAAACACACAATTTTTTATTCAGATTAGAATACATTAAGATTCTCTAATGAAAGAAAAATGGAACCAGCCCCAATTTTGGAAGAAGAATCTAGGATAACAGATTCTAGAACCTTACTTTCATGGAGAACCAGACCAACATTGCCCAAGAAAATTAAATGTTGACCACATGTCTTTTTTAAATTTTTTTTGAAAAATGTATTTCTTTTTATGTGCATTGGTGTTTTTTCTGCATGTGTAGTTGTGTGAAGGTGTCACATCTTAGAGTTACGGGCACTGTAAGCTGCCGTGCGTGGGTGCTGGGAATTAAACGCAGGCAGTCAATGCTCTTAACTGCTGAGTCATCTCTCCAGCCCCATGTGTCTACTTTTATAGTTCATAGGAGCCACACGGAAACAAACAAAAGGAAACCGGTGAAGCTGATATAAATAACATCATAAGTATGTTAGTAACCTGAATAAGTGTGTTAACCACAAATGTCACTTCTCCGTGTGACCAGTGGGTGAGGTCTTACAGATGGATCTTGTTTTCCACATAGTCCTGGCTGCCAGGAAGCAATGGTCAGCTTGTCTATCTCAGCTTGTTTGGCTGTGCCTGTTTTCCGGAGTTCCCGCTTTCAGTGGGATGCACTAACCTGTGACTCAGACATTCTCCACTTTCCTCTTGTGTATGTCTGATTCCGCACTCGAGCGTCTCTAAATGTCATTTGCACATTCTCGGGGGACCTGCTTTAGATCCTGTAGCAGAAATGAACCTTAACCTCCTTGCACACTGCTGCCTGAACATGTGTTCCAATTGGGACATCTACTAGAACCACGTGGTGCCGTCCTGTGGTTTCAAAGGAGGCCTCAAAAACAAGGCTACCTGCACGTATAACCTTTGAGAAGTTCTTTCCTTGTGTGTACTCGGGTAGACTGGAAGACCAGGCTAGCTCACAGGGAGTTCACACCAGGCTTCAGGGCATTACCCAGTAAACTTTGGTCACCACTGTGAAGCAGAAGTCCCTGAAAACAAAACTGGAGCCACATTGCCATTAAATCGCCCTACAAGTGTCTGTTTCCTAAGGCTAACGTAGCCTGCAAACCATATTTTTCAACCTACACTGAACTTGTAACCCCACAATGTATACCTACCACTTTGTCGGGCTAAACTCCTGAACCTGTGAGATGATTGCCCCTTTGTCTTACTAAAATGAGTCTTTCCAATGCCTTGATGACACCCTTCCACATGAGTATTCTTGCATTTATCTATCCCACGGGCAACCTGGAGCCCTGAGTCCCCCACTCCGCTGTCCAGGTGCGAATTCTCTATAAAAGGGACCTCCAAAGTCAGCGAGGGGCTCCTCTCTGAAACCCTGACTGGTGGGAGAGTCAGCCAGCTGTGGAATTGTTTTTTGTTTTTTGTTTTTTTCAGGTCTAACAGGTCACTCTCTTTTCTTTCTTGCCTTCTTACTCCCATCCAGTCCTCTCTAATCTAGTCCACAAGGCAATGTTTAACTTTCAGTCCATCTTGGTACTGGATTGTGGAGTGATTTTTCACCTGCTGTTTTCCCTCCGGGCTACTGAGTTGAATGGCTCCACCCCTGGTTAGGAAATCATGGTGGCTTAGTTTCAC